AGGACAAGAGATCACAATGCACGGCTTTCGGGGGCTCCAGCACCAACCTCCCCTGGACAGAAATCAGGCCGGGATTTCCTCCTCCACAGTATGTTGCTCAGATCAGCAGCTGAACCGACTCTGGCAGTGGGGGAACAGGAGACAGGGAGAAAGGAGGGGCAGAGCTGGGCAGGCCACAAGGCCTCAGCCTCTTAGGCAAGCGCAGATCCAGGGCAAAGAGACAAGTCAGGTTCCACCAAGCTACCCAGCACTGCCTGCAGTTGGTCAGAGCCTTCTCGTCCCTTCCCTGTCGTCTTTAAATACTGTCCTCAACGGGTAGAGCCAGAGCCAGTACTGCCCTACTGCCTCCTGAAACCAAGGTCCAGAAATCTGTGCATCTGTAAGGGCTCATACACAATACACAGTGGTAGCCAGGCTTGGCAGTACACACCTGCAATCCCAGTGGCTTGGGAGGCTGAGGCAGTAGGATTTCCTTGAGTACAAGCCAGCCTGAACAACACAGCAAAATCCAGTTCCAAAAGCAAAACAAAGCACAGTGAACTAGAAGCAAAAGCCAGGACTGCCACAGCCTGGTCCATACTCTATGCTGCAAAATAAGCAGTATTTCAAGCCATATAACAATATATTGCAACTTTCACCCAAAACGTCACCACATACTCTTGTAGGCAGCAGACTCCTCTCTTGCTTATAGACATCTTAAGTGAACAACCTGTAACATGCCCAATAAATCAACTCCCAGAAACAATGAAAGCAGGGCATGGTGGCACACATCTTTAATCCCAGCACTCTGGAGGCTGGGGTAGGCTTGAGAAATCAGAGCCCAACTGGTACACTGCACAGCAAGTCTGAGGCTAGCCTGGCTACACAGTGAGACCCTATCTCCAAAACAACAAAACTTTTCACAGTTAAGAATCGTAAGCTGGGCTAGGGATATAGCTCAGTGGCACCAGGCCTGCCTGGCAAGCTCAACGTGGTAAGTTCAAACCCACATATCCCCCCAAAAAAAGAATAACCAAGCTGAAAAAATAAACAGGACCCCAAACACAAAACATATACTGTAAAATGGGAAGAAACTTCTAAAGGAAAGAGAAACTGGCATGGGAACACAGAGAAAAGGGAAAAGCAAAAAAAAAATATATATATATATATATACACACATACACACACACACACACCCGTAAGTAAAGGTAGTTATACTACTAACTTCTTTTAGTTCATTGAAAAGAAAGATTTGTGCTAACACTGCTTGGACAATGAAATATGGATATCTTGTACTCCGAGTAACTGATTTGAAGATAACAATATACAATGTATTAACTATTGTTACTCTCTTATCTTGTTTTGAGATTTTGTTTTCTTCTCTTTAAAATAAAATGAAAGAAAAAATAATAAAGACTATCAATGGAACTCAAGAATTGGCCAAAAAACGGAATAGGAATCTAAAAATAAAAGCAAAGAGCAGCCACAGTCTTGGCTGTGGCACCAAGGCCCAAGGACACTGGAGGAAAGTGCTCAGTGTGGTTCTCCGCCCAAGGCCTGTAGGGCGAGCACTGGAGCCTGCCACTCACCACAGATGGCAGCCCAGGGGCACGGGCTCCTGCAGGTAAACCAAGAAGGCAGCCACTGTGCGGCCAGCCTCAGTGCTTCAGATGCTTTCGATTCCTACAGGGAAAGTGGTCTGGTTTACTCTCTTGACCCAGGGAACAACTGTGTGCTGGTAAGGTATATAAGCCATCCCAACCCCACCAATAACTCCCCATGGCATCCAGACGGAAAGCACCGTATCCAACCAGGGACAGCCCAGGGGACCCATGCAGAGAGGCTTCCAAAAGGAAACAAAGACTTGCCCCAACCAGTCAGGTTTCTGGGGCGCAGAAAGTGTGCCAATCCAGCTGGACACCCTTCTCCACTGTTTCCTTCGAGACCTGACCTCACAGGGGCAGCCACAAGCACACACCAGGCCCCAACCCCATGACCACAGCACAAATAAGAAGCGCTTCCGCTGAGTAGAGCCCAGCTGAGTCTCATCAGGCATCTGAACTCTGCTGCCCAGATTTATAAATTCAGATTCTCAATTAAAAATAAAATCGTTGGAGATGACAATGTGCAGTGTATGTACCACTGTTGACCAAACTGATGTGTTCTAAAACTGTTATTTTTTTCTCTTTGAAATAAAATGGATTTTATAAATAGATAAAATCATATCTGCTCCCCTTTTAAAGCTAGCTACAAAACAGACACCTCGTTTAGCAAAAATGAATGGGAACAGGACTGCTTTTTTTTTTTTTTTTTTTTTGTCTTTTTCCTTTTTATCAGTACCGGGGATCGAACTCATGACTGCCTGCCTACAAGGCAGGCGCTTATGCTGCTGAGCTAAATCCCCCGCCCAGGAACAGGACTGCTAAAATGGGGTGATGAGCCCTCTGCCAACACGGGGTCTGTCTCTAAACCTGCAAGGCTGCCCCAGGTTCACACCCCAGAATGGAGCCTGCATTCCCTGTACTCAGGAACCTGAGACAGGAGGGTCACAGTGAGTCTGAGGCCAGTTGGGGCTGCACAGTGAGTGAGTTTAGGGCTGCCTGAAGTACCCAGTGAGACCCTGTCTCAAAAATAAATAAATGAAATTCCAGTATGGTGCTTGGTCTTTAGTTTCTTCTCACATTTCTAGTCTTCAAATATCTAACTCTTAACAATTCTAAAACTTCAAAGCCCACAGTACTGTCAGATTTTTGACTCCTTATCTGATGAGGCAGCACATACCCAGAATAACCGGGTACAGCAGTAAAACTAGATCACTGGTGGCGAACCCAGGCACGCATGCCAAGCGGGTTGTTTGTATCCCTGAACTCTCTAACACATTTGCCATCACTAGACTAAACCAAGCACACAATGCCAAGACAAATACTTCTACGCAGCTGACAGATCCCAAGCTGAATGCTATAACCAAATGTAACAAAAGAAAACCCAAACTTACCTTGCTAAAAATACTGGAAGTGCCTTTTATAAGTACTGTAAGTATCAGAAGGCCTAAACCATTCCCACGTGTACTATCTTAAAAATACACACAGGACTGAATCCTACAGGAGCCCAGGAGCTGAGCCCAAGAATGCACCAGGTTTAACAGCAAAAACAGGGAAGTCAGCATTCAGGGTAAACAGGCTTCAGCAAAATGCTACAAAGCGGTGGGAAAGAACACAGAGACAGGGCCAGGCATACAGCTCATTGGCACAGTGCCTTCCTGGCAAGCACCAGGTTGTGAGTTTGATCCCCATTACCCCCCACTCCAAAACAACACAGGGACTTAGAATAGAACTAGGAAGAGTTTGAGAACATAACGCAGCTTGGAAGACATTACTATGAAAGGTGCAAAGCCATGCAAAACCCAAGCTGCTTCAGTAAAGATGCGTGTTGAAATGAAGGGAGAATCAAAACCCAACCCTCACAGGGAGTGAGGAGGATGGGACAGGTGTGGCAAAGGAGGAGCATTCTGCTGCAGAGGTGGGTACAAAACTGCCAGGCCCTTGGGGCCACTCCAGGGTAATTTTCTTAGGTATTTCATATGCATATTACCAACTCCAACTTTTAAAATCAGGTAGGAGGGTGCTGGGGATTTAGCTCACCGGCATAAGTGCCTGCTCTGCAAGCAGACAGTTGTGAGTTTGATCCCTGGTGCCGATAAAAAAAAAAAAAAAAAGATAAAATCAGGTAGGGGGCTGGGGATTTAGCTCAATGGCATAAACAAGCAAGTGGTTGTGAGTTCGATCCCCAATACCGATTAAAAAGAAACAAAAACATAAAAACAGGTAAAGCAGCCAGATGTGGTGGTACACAATTGTAATGCCAACACTGGGCAGGCTGACACAGAACTGTTGTGAGTTCAAGGTCAGCCTGAACTACATACATATTAAGACTATCTCGAAAAAACAAGATATAAAATAAAATCAGACTAACTCAGGTCCAAAGCAGCATTTCCCCACCACTACACAGGACCTGAGTGAGGTTCAACAGAACCAGTAAACAACAACCGTAAAACTGAAAAGGGTAAAAGGAGAGTTTCCAAACTGCTGCCTACCAACACAAAAACAGGTCCAAAACAAAGCCGAATGTTTAATCCCTGCCTGTCCTGATGCCTGACAGGAGGCCTCTGGTTGCAGCACAGGCGGGTCACCAGAATGCCTGCTCAGCAAGCTTTCTAAACTGGTTAACTAGCCCTTTCTTTAAATATTGTTCCTGCCCTTCAATCTTACTCCAGGTGATGTTTCCACCACAATAAAGGCAAGGTGTGCTTCAAATTGAGGCAGTTACACCAGTGGCGACCCCTTAATCTCCTCCCTGAGACCAAGCACCTGCCATGCACACAGAGCCCCACAGGTTCAACCCGTCAGCGCACCCCCGGGTCTGCACGGTTCCCAGGGCAGAAACCAGAGCCTCTAATCCACTAAGCACATTAGGCCGCGCGAATGGGACTCCATGGCAAGGTTACCTAGTTCTTCACAGCCCAAATTAACCAAAGGAGATCATGATAGCTCGCGCCATTCACACAATAGCAACTTCTACCTGAGGGAGCCCAAAGCCCTGGCTTGCTAAATGCTGTATCAAAACGCACGACGAACAGGAATGGATGGGAACCAGGCGTCGTTCCCCTGGAACATAGGCCTCCAGCGTTCCCGGCTATCACCACCCTGGGCTGCACAAGACAGCTAGGGACAGCGGCCGTCAGGAGAGAGGTCCCTGCCGCGCTCAGCACTAGTGGTCGGCGGGCGACCCGGGAGGCCACTCGGGGCGGACCCCGCACGCAGGACCTCCCCACCTGGGGCCCGGGGCGCGGCCGGCCCGCGAGCGTTCATCCGGCATGGGGCCAGGGCAAGGAATCGCAGCGTCGCGCTCACTGGGGGAGGGCGCCGGCCCGGCCTGGCCCGTCACCCGCAGCGTCCTTCCCTCCGCCCGTGCTGCTTCGATCCTGTCTCAGGCCCGATCCGCAGCCCGCCGCCCCCGCCCACCTAGGCCATACGCCTTGGCGCAGATCCACTGCAGGTTGGCGGCGATCTTGGCCCGCGCCGCGTCGTAGCGGTCCAGCGGCACCAGGTCGGCGCCGTCCAGCGGGGCCTCCATCCTCCGCCAGCCTCGGTGGCGTCCGCCCTCTGCAGACAAAGGCCGCGGCGGCTCGGCCGCAACAAAGACGCCGCCGCCCTCCCGCGCCGGCCCGCGGGGCGCACGGCCCTCGCTTCACGGCCGCCGCCGCCGCCCAGGCTGCTGCTGCATGCTGTGGGCGCCGAGCCGAGGCCGAGGAGAGGCCGGCAGGCCGGCGAGGAGGCGGCGGCGGCAGGCGGGCGCGGGCCGTGGGCGGGGGCGGCGACAGCGGCGACGGCGGCGCGTGCGCAGCCCCGGGAGACGGCTGCTGAGGCGACGGCCAACGGGCGGGAGCAAGCACACCGCCGCCGCGTCACGCAGGCGCCGTGGGCACCCCCCGCAGCCCCACCCTTTTCCGCAGGCGCAGTAGGCACCGCCCGCGGTCCCGCCCCCAGTTCCACCCCGACCCGCTCCTTTCCGCAGGCGCAGTGGGCCCCGCCCGCGGCCCCGCCCCTTCCCAGGCCACTGCGCTCCTAGCAACGCTGGCCGAACTGGCGTCTCTCTGCTGGTTTCTAGTACCGCACGCGTCCACCTTGGGCTTTGGTCGTCCCGGCTACAGGCCCCAGTCGCCTCCGGCGGGACGCAGTCGCTCCCCTGTGAGGGAGCGGGGACGGGCGCCGGCGGATCCTCGACGAGCGTCGCAGTGCCGGAGGAGCCGAGTTCGGGTCTTGTGGGCGCCGGCTGAGGACCTCTCGGAACGCGACCTCCGGATGCCTCCGCCTGTGTGCTTGGCGGCCAGAGTAAGGCCGCGCGCGGGGGGCCGGGCCCGGAGCTTCTCGGCAGGGCCCAGAGCCGAGGATCTGGGAGGAGGAGCAGTGCGGGGCAGGAGGCCTGGAAGGACGGGGACGCACAGCAGCGATGCGGGACCTGAGGCCCTGAGCCGAGGGTGTCGGCAACCCGTTTCCTGGGTCGGGCGACAGCCGGCCTAGCCTGAGAACCGGGACAGAACCGCCTCGGCGCTGTGCGCAGGCCCATGAGCAGGAAAGTGCGGCAGAACCTCGGGGCCGGGGCGCGCGGCCTCCTGAGCCTGGTGGGGAGTGCGGAGGCGGCAGCCGTGTCCCTTCCACGGGGACCTTCCGGTTCCTGGCAGTGGACATCGCCAAGGAGGTTTGGGGGGGGAGGGTCCTTGGTCATCGTGCAACCCCGCAGGACCTGTTGGTGACTCCGATGGTTTCTCAATGCATCTTCACGGAGTTGCTAAACTTAATGTCATGCCCACCCCACCTGCAGGCCTCTAGCTTCCTCCTGACTGCCCTGACTACAGCCTCCAGTTCCACCCGGCCGGCCTGGCATCCTGTCCCTACCCTGGGGAAGCATCCGGTCCACCACTGACTGGTACTGTGGGTTTTCATTCAGCCCTCTATGGGCCCAAGTTCTCTGTCCCACCTGGAGCGTTTTTATTGTGAAACACATCGCGTTTCGATCGTGGGTTTTCATTCTATAATGTGCCTTCCTAGATAACCCCACTTGTTCATACCACCTAAACCGTTTTATGTGTTCCTGGATTTTGTTGAGGAGTTTCATCACCATGCTCATAATCGAAATGGGCCTGCAGTTTTATTGTAGCATCTGGTTTCAGTAGTAGGTTACTACTGGCCTCAAAATGAGGCAAAAGTATTCTCTCCCCATATTTTTCAGAAGCTTGTGAAAAATTGGTATGTGTTCTTTAAGTGTTCATCAGTGCTAAGAATGAAGCCATCTGGGTCTGAGTTTCATAAATAACCTTTTTTTTTAAATAAATGACCTTTTGATTACTAATTCAGTCTTCATCTGGTATAGGCCTTTGCAGATTGTGTGTTTTCTTGAGCCAGTTTCAGTAGTTTGTGCTTTTCTAGAAGAATCTGTGCATTTTATCTTAAGTCCAAAGCAATTCTGAAGACAAGTAGGAGAGCAGGGCAGGGCAGTGGGGCAGGATCAGGAAGGATGGGTGATGTCCTAGCATCCCTCACAGGCAGCTTTGTGGAACACTAAAGACAGGAGGACATGAATCCCCAAGATAGGTCTTTGCATTCCTTTCAGTTTTGCTATAAAGGAGACCAGAGAAGTGGCACTGAAACCACAGGGCAACACTCTGCATGTCGATGTCCCTGGATGCAGGAGGAGGGAAAGTGATGCCAAGAAGAGAAGACAGCCATTGGGGTCACAAACCCACAGGAACCCAGAGGGCAGGAGGCTGGGCTGGCACAGGAACTAAAGGGCAGCACAGAGGGACTGTGAGTGGGAGGGGAAGCAGCGGACGCCCAGAACCTTGTTTGGGCTCTGAGATAGAACACAGTACTGAGAGCATGGCCATCTCTTTGGGAGATTTCTAAGTGGATAGGAAGCCAGTGACCCAGCTGTGTCCCCCAGATGAGAACACGGGAGAACCCAAGGTAGAGTCACTGAGTTTAAGCAGGGCACAGCTGAGGGGGATGTGCAAGGGTAGGTGGTTGGTGACACTGGAACACAAAGAGGAGCGGACAGGTAGAGGACCCAGCAGCACGAGGCTAAGGAGCAGAGGCCAGGGGAGGAAGCAGGTTCAGGGGTGTGGAGGTGCTGGCCAGGGCTGCTTCTGACACGAAGAGGGTGACACAGCTCTCGGCATGGGTCTGTTTCCATGCTTAGACGTCATCCCTTCAGGAAATCCTCAGCCAGCACTCTTGCCACTCAGGTTTTAACATGTAAGCGGGCATCTTCAACCCAGAACTACAGGCGGGCCCCGCCTCAAGCCTGCAGGTCTCAAGCTGCAGAGACCACAGGTGAGCAGGGAGTCTGAAGACTCACTTCCCCTCTGGCCACTCCCTGAAGCCCTCAGTCAGGATGGAAGTAAAACTTTGATACAGAGCAGGGCAGTGTCCCTGTCAGCCACCAGCCTGCAGCAGCTCAGAGCAGATCCCTCCAGAGCCCACCAGGGATGGTGGTGGACCTGCCCTCCTCCCCCCAGCACTGCCACTTTGCAGTGCTGACCCCAGCCTCAGCCAGCCGAGGGGCTCCCTCAGTAAAGCGCCAAGAGACCCACAAGCTGTGTCGAGCCTTCCATCTGCTCCGCAGGCCTCCCCCTGCTCTTCCTGGTTGGTAGGAGCCTGTGAGCAGTGTGTGAGGCTTAGTGGAACATGTGCCCAAGGGGAGCGTGCACTGTGGGCTGCCAGGGCCAGAAGGGGAGCTCGCCATCATGGAGTTCCCAGGGGCAGAAGAGGCGACCTCACTTTATTACCTCAGCAGCTGTTGCTCCTTTGTACAGGCAGAAGAGGCATCTTTCCATTTTAATTCTGATTCCCTAAGTCTAAAATTACGCATTTTGCTGTTGGAATAAACAGGCACAAGTGAGGTACAGCCTCTTGCAGGCATTTCACCTGCGTCCAGCTCCTCCTGGCCCACAGCCCATGCTCAGCAAGGCCACTGCTAGAGGGGACAGTCATTCTTGTTGCCTTTGTGAGCAAAAACAGCCAGAAGAGCAAGAAGGCCACAAAGTGGAGAGGCTGAGGAAGGGACAGTCTGCTACCAATCCAGAGTGACCCAGCACCTGTGTCCCACAGTGGGGTCAAAATGTGTGTAGACACGCAGTCGCACACCTACCACACTTGGGCACACACACTCTTCCTCCCACTGCCAAGGCCTGAAGAGATGACACGACAGCATTTGGGTTACGATGGGTTCAGGGGAAGCCATGCAGCCAGGTCCACCCAGCAGAATGGAGACCCCATGGGAGGCCAGGCTGAGGTGGTCCTTGGTTCCGGGCCAGGTATGCAAGTGCCAGAGTGCCGAATTTCATAGTGTGTGTATTTTACCACAACTTTAAAAATATATACACTAGCCAAGTGTGGTGGTGCACACCTGTAATCCCAGCACTAGGAGGCTGGGCCAGCAGAATCACCACAAGTTTGAAGCCAGCCTGGGCTACGTATGAGACCCTGCCAAAAAAAGAAAAGAAAAGTTACAGAATTTTAAAAATTAGTGGGGGTGGGGCCAGGGATGTAGCTCAGTGGTGCAGTGCCTGCCTGGCAAGAGTGAGGCCGAGTTTGGTTCCCAGTACCAAAAAAGAAAACAGTAAAAAAAAAAGACCAAAAAAAAAAAATGGGGGTGAAAATCCGCATGCGTGTACTACTGTCCCCTGATGTGTTTTAAAAATTTTGTTTGTTTTTCTTTTTCTCCTTAAAATAAAATGAATTTGGGTGGAAAAAAGGGAAAAAAATTTTTTAAATGTGTGTGCTAGGCTGGGGATTTAGCTCAGCTCAGCGGTATAAGCACCTGCACAGCGAGCATGAGATCATGAATTTGATGCCTGGTAACAAAAAAAGAAAAAAAAAAAAAAAAAGAAAAAAATGCATATGCTGAACCTAAAACTTCAGAAAGAAAGGAAGGGTTTTTGGCTTTGATGTACAGGAGGTTATAAAATTTGAAACTTTGTATTTATTTATTTTTGGTACCGGATCAGACTCACAACTTTATGCTTGCCAGGCAGGTGCTTAGGCCACTGAACTAAATCTCCAGCCCCAAAATTTGAAACTTTAATACAAATTCACTAGATCCTGGGTTCATCTGTGACCCTCCAGTGACTGCACACAAGCCTGCCTGGAGGTCACAGACACTAAAAGAATGTGAAGAAAGAACCTGGCAGCATAGACACTAAAGAACATGAAGCCAACCTCAGGTCCAGGACACAGCCTCCTGCCTCAGCCTCATCCCACAAATGACTGTTCTTCATACCAGCTGGTGACACACAGCCATCGCGCAGACCATGCAGTCTGAGACGCCCCCGAGAAGAGGGCTTCTTGTGACACTCTTCAGGGGCCTGAGCTGCCATCACGAGACCCCAAGTGAGATGCAGCTGCCCAGAGGCCCCGGCTTTGCCCTCTCCAAATGCTTTCTTGGGGTGACAGCCCCTGCTCAGCATGCTTAGGCCCGAGTGGCAGCCCCGTGTGGCAGAAAGGAATATTCTATTCCAAAAGAAAACGACTTTCCCTGAGGAAAGCAAGCCTAACTTCTTGCTGACACAAGCTGGAGAAACCAAGTTAACTGATAGCATGAAGGTGCTGAGAATTACAATCCCAGAACAGCAAGACAAGTGGCCCAGGCCTCCAGTGTCCAAGGTCCTCCACAAACAGCCCCACCCATTGCACATCCACGGGCTCCCCAACCAGCAGCTCCCAACGC